AAGGATGACAATTAAGTAATATAATAGAGACCTACCAAGCTATTAGGTAATTTATTGAATGTTTGATATTTGTCATTTTCTCTTTGTGCTTACCTCACTGTCCAATACCAAAGAAAACTTTTTTTTATACGATTACGTGCTCTAATAACCAAATGAACCCATGATTTTGGTTTGATAATAGCTCTTTCTAATGTTTTATTATTGGTTGATATTATATTAATAAAGATGAAAGGATATGATAGTACTTTTAATCGTATTTTATGGGGTTATAATGTGTATGGATTACCGTTTCAAAATTAATTTGTGAGTTTGCCTAAAACAGTTGAAAAATTTCTTCATTGTTATGATATTTTATGAATGTCCATATGCTTTCGTCACACCATTTAAGACACATTTAATTTAGAGATGTAAGAATAAGAGATGATAAGTGGTAGCTAACAGTGAACGCTTATAAGATTTGCTTGTCAATGAATTACGATAATTTCTTAACACTTGGCTGCTGCTACATTGGTTTTGTTTATTATTAGTACCTAGGATTATCATGCAATAGTTCTTTAAATTGAATGTTTTTCATAAGAAAATATACTTGAACCATGACAGAGTTATATAGTATGTATGGTTGCCGAAAGTGATGTAACACTTTTAAATACTCGAGGGCGAGTCCCAGTATACTTTGGTTTAATATGCTATTAATTGAGGGTAAGACGGTGGGTTCAAGTCCCAGCGCACTATAAGGGTAAGACATCGGGTTCAAGTCCTGATGCACTATGATAATAAGAGTTGGATTTGAGTCCAAACTTATTATGGCCTAGCATGTTTTATATGGGTAAGGTACTGGGTTTGAGTCCTAATGCACCATATTGATGATCTAATGATGACTAATGAAAATAATTTTTCATGACTGTATGTATGTACGAGGGCATGGCAAGCGACGAAATAATAGTTGTCATCACTATGGTAACTGTAAAAGGAGAACATTAAGGGTTCTCGAAGTAATCCTTCAATGGGTGAAGGAAATATTTACCATCTTATTGGCATGAAAAATTTATAAAGCACGTTGCGATAATTATACTCCATTCTTTGAAGAGAATGTGACTTGTGCATTGAGAATGCAGATTCATTCCTGAAGGTGAATGTAACAATATGTGATAAAAGTAATGAATAAAGACGTGCAATGCATGATTGGATATACACCACAACTCAGCTCTAAGGGAGGTTTGAGAGAAAGAGAGATAATGAATATTACTGTGTGATTACATGAATATGTCATTGGTCGCGTACATGTGGTACGCCAAAAATAATTTGACATGCCTTATAAAAAGTTATTAAAGGCAAAATTAAAGCAAGAAAAGATTTTGCTTATGATGATTTAGACCATGACAATTATTATGATAAGATAATTTTCTCTGTGGAGGAAAAATTTACCACTTGGATGGTGTTATAAAAGATCTTGTAGTGCAAAATTATTGAGAGCTCCAGAAGAGCGAATTTATTACTACCCGAATAAATAAAATTATTCATGGCATTGGCGGTAGTAAGTCTCAAAAGAAACTTTTTGAGTTTCAAATGTATTAGCCAAAGTGGTTGGCATATTGAGACTATAAATGAAAGGAAGATTGATTATCTTCATATTACTATAACATACCGGGTAAATATGAAAGGTTACTCGACTTTTCTTCTATTTGTACTACAGATGTATAAGTATGATGATAGAATCACATGCCAAAATAAACTAGAGGTTTATTGAAACAAATATTAGTTGGCATGACCGGTTGACCACAATTATGATGTGAAAATTGATTGAGAATTCACATTGGCATATATTAAAAAAATAGAAGATTCTTCAAGAATTCTCTTGTGCTGTTTTTTTCTCATGATATACCAGTTAAGGTTGGGATTGAATCCCTTGATATCTGGAACGAATAAATGGTGATATATATGTATGGGCTCAATCACCTGCCATGTGGACCGTTTACTATTATATGATTTTAATAGATGCATCTATTGTATGGTCACATGTGCGTTTGTTATCAACTTGCACTTTGGTTTTTGCAAGGTTGTTTACTCAAATTATTAGAGCACAGTTCCAGAATATATATTATGATAATTTATCTTGATAATGATGGTTTAAATCCAAATTGGTTTAGCAGAAATTGTATGCCTCCAATTATAGCTAAACCATTGGTTATGAGAACAAAACTCCAAATAGAAATTTTGTATTAAGTATATTATTTAATATACAACAGCACTTGTACGCATCTAGCCAACAAGTTATGATAAATTCTCCACATCACAATTGGTTCAGGGTCAGGAACCAAATATTTTCATCTAGAAATATGGATGTACTATATGATTTAATTGTGCCACCACAATGCACAAAGATTGGTCTCAATGAAGGTTGGAGGATATGTGTTGGTGATCCCAACATTAGGGGGAGAAAATGAGCAGCTGAAAAAAAAGTAATACATGGAATGAATTATTATGAGTATATTAGATCCTCGTACAAGAAAATATGAACTTGAAGTTCAAGTGATAATTCATTTGCAAAATATTTCCATGCGCATTTGCTGACCCAAACTAAATGTCATATTTCAGCTACTAATGCTCCAAATAGAATAAAGTCCATGATGGACATAGTCTATGGCACTCTTGAAGCGTAATAGACAAATCGGTTACAAAGATAAAACTCCTTGAAGAAGGAGGGAGAAAATGTTCAAGATGGTCATAATAAGGAGGCAAGTGCTTTATAAGAGCACCATGACATAACATTTTATAAGACCTCATGGAAGAGGCCCATGTACCTGAAAATAATGAGATCTGGATAAGTTATGTCTTTATTGTGCGATGATAGGAATCGATGTAAAATGATCGTCGACGATGTTGTTAATATAATGTAGCGCTCAATATTATTAATATTGATGAGGATCTTGAGCTCAAATTTGTCATGAAATTTAGATAGATAAATGATTGGCCAAAAGAAAAATATGCAATGAAATTGACTTCACCTGAAAAATGTGAAGTTGGACGGATAGTCCCCACACCTGAAAGTGAAACGAAAAATCAAGTCGATAGACATAAAAACGACTTGTGGCACAAATTTTTCGTAAATATCCTGGTATTAGGAGACATGTTCTCCTGTGGGGAATGGAGTCATTTCAGATTTTGGTCTGACAATACATTTGATATGCATGTAATGAAAATCCTTGAATGATTTAAATTGTTCTGAAGCATATTAAGGTTCCCAAGAAATTTATTAAATAAATCTTCGGCAGATCCTTATGTAGATTAGAGCGATCATGGCGTACATGATTTATTTTTCTGTCTAGTGCAATTGGTGCACTAATATATCTAGCTAGAACCATGAGTATAACAATATGCTAGCAAGATATAGTTTTATTCCAATGTGGAGATATTGGAATACAATTAGTATTTTATTTCAAAAAGAATACTTGATGTAGATTTGTTTATTCTAACAAATATTGCCAAGTTTGTTGGTTATGCAAATGCAGGCATTTTCCTGAAGTTCGTTCTTCAAACATTCCATTTGCATGTGAGAGTACTGCCATATTATCATTTTACAAGGCAATTAATTATTGATACTTATTCAAGTCATGCTAAGATAAGCAACTGATAAAGCAAGGGGCTCAACACACAACAGACGTGTGACTTAACTTTGAAGAGAAGATTCCAATAATACTGAAGATAATGTTGTTTGCTTATATCAATTGAAAGAAGGACTATTGAATGAGACAAAATAAAGCACATTCACCAAAGTTCTTCAACAAATTTGTTCAAGTGATAATTTGACAAACTTCTTCACAAGACATTGGGGATCTCAATATTAGAGAAGTTGTTATACAAGCTTGGAATTCGTCGTCTCCGAAGAATAAAGTGATGTTTTCATCAGGGGGAGACAAATACGCGCTGTACTCTTTTTCCCTTAGCTAAGATTTTATCCCACTAGGTTTTTCTGGCAAGGTTTTTAATGAGGCAGCAAATAATGCGTATTACAAGATATGTGTACTCTTTTTCCTTCACTAAGATTTTTTCCCACAGGGTTTTTTCTTAGTAAGGTTTTAACGAGGCACATTATCTATAGACATCCAAGGGGGAGTGTTATGAAATATTATTTTATAGTGGATGTCTATAACTCCTAAAGAAGTTACTCCCACTACTCTTCTCCATTATGTAGATAACTCCCACTACTTCTCACCATTATAATTGTAACTCCCACACCTCCATAACCTCCCCATGATCTCAATAGTTAATACCATGTTTATGATATCCCTTTGTATACCTCAATGTCATCCTATAAATAGAGGGTTTGGACATCACATTGTACACACTTGAATACATGGAAGAAATAAGAATCTCTCCTCTCTTGTTCCCTACATTCTTGTCTATTTTCTTGTTTTATATTATTACTTTGAGCTAAGTTCGTAATAAATATAAGATAATACAAGGACAATGTTGATCTTCTTCCTTAAGAAAACGTTTCAGGTACAACATATTACTAACTAGTAACTAACATTAAAAAAGAATATCGCCATGCAGAAGACTTTAAACAAATCAAAATTTTAAAAGTATTTTATTACTCTTTTCATTTCAATTTATATGATACTTTTTGGATGTCGATATTTAAATTCTCGTAAACTTTGACCTATATTTTAAAATATATATTTTTCTCATATTTGACCTGAGAAGAATTGTATTTATAGTTTTTTATTCATATAGTTATAAGTATTTAAATTTAAACTAAGTTGATCTAATCAAATTTAACTACAATAATTATCAAATTGACCGTAGGAAAGCAAAAAATATCACAACAGATGGAATAATATATTAGAGTTGGTGAATGGTATATTCCTACGAGTGTCATTATTTTAAGTGTAACATCCCCGGCTTCCGCGCCACAAACTGGCATGTCTTTCTCTTTCATTCACACACACAAAAACTAAGACACAACGGTTTGGATTTGACCCAATAAATTAAATGCGACCACTAAAAAAGTCTGGTAAAGTTTTTGTCCTTTGGCAAGAACTGAAATAATTGTCTCAACTTACACAAGATTACCACAATAATGTAAGTGATACCAAAATCTGCAAAGAAAATTTAAGAGGTAAAAGACAATTTATCCAGCTGTAATCTTCAGTTTATGTTTGCTCATAATAAGAAAAGCGTAGTGTTTAATTAGAGAGAGAAAGAGAGAGAGTGAAAGATACTGCTCACCTTCTGAAGTTGCTGTGGTTCTAATTTATAACATGATTTTTAAGAAAAAATATTTTTCGTCTCTACAAAAAAAACGTCATAATTATCTGCCCACTTGACCACTATAGCCTTGGGTGGCTATAAGCACTTTTTGTATATTTGTTTCTTGTTTGCATTTGAAGTGTATAAAGTAAAAGGAGATACCAAAAAGGTCTTCTTTTGAACTATGATTTGTTGCATTTTTTAATTCAATATTTATGTAGAATTTGAAAGAGAAATTATATATTTGTGAATTTTGGATCAGAAAGGTCTTGATCTGAGTCTTAGAGGGGTGAAATCTTGATTTTTTTGATTCTGGATCCTGTCAAGAATATCTGTTGATGAAACTTTCAGTAGAAAAATGGACCAAACAATTGAAAGGTCTTCAAATGCACAAAGGGGTTTCCGAGTTCAAGCTCCACTGGTGAGTGTTCATTGTCCTTTTTTTTTTTTTTTTTTTTTTTTTTTTTTTTACAGTTAATTTCTTTGATTAATGGCTTTCTTTAAATTCCCTTATGAAAATTCCTGGTAAAGAAGCAACTTTTGCAAGAATTGGTTTTTTCTTTCATGAGTCTTGTTTGAATTTGGTATTTTGGGGCTTGGATTAGCATAAAATTGCTGCTGAATCTTCAACATTTTTCCTTAGACTTCAGCTAAGGTCGTTTTTCAACATGACTTTTGGGGTTTACATTTTGTGCAAATACTCCATTCTTACATATTTTGACAATGAAGTCACAGAGTTTTTGCCTAAAAAGGATATTTAAGCTTGGTTAGAATTTTGCTATTCACTTTAGGTAGCTCTTTCTTTGCCAGTTGTTTTGGAAAATTTCACATGGTATGGCAAGGATAGATGCCAAAAAATTGTTTTTGTTTCCTTTAATAATGATGGTGTTCCGGCCATCTTGCACAAACCCTGACTAATCCAATGGGTACTTGCTACCTCCTACCAATACAAGTATCGAGTAACTCTGTCCATCAAGACTTAGGCAATAGAAAGAAATCACCTAACTTTTTTTTTCCTCAGCTGAGAGGGCTTTTCAACCGTGATATCTCATGATTTTCATCCACTTTATTGACCACTAGGCCATATCGTTGAGTGCAAGGATAGTTGCCAGATTATCAAATTCTTGGCAGTAAACAGATGAATATGCCTAAGAAAAAACTTCCACATGACATCAGCCAGCCTTGCTTCTTAACTCAAATTTCTTGCTATTAGCTGACCTTGACTTTGGTGGAGAATCTAGATGAATAGTATGCTATGTTGCCATTCTTCGTAGTATACCTAACAAAGCGGAAGGTGTAGCCGCAATAGCACCAGTTTTTATATGTCTGTTGGGTTTACCCTTTTTTAAAAGTATGTATGTACATAGTTCAAGTTTTCGCCCGATTCACCAAGGAATATTTTGGTTGATTTTGGCGTGGTATATTTGGTCTTAATCTAGGTAGATTCATATGTCTGCATGTTGAATTTTTTTCCCCTTAGGACTGATAAAGTGCTGCTGTAAATGAAGCCATAAGGTGTGGTACAATGCCATTAACACAACATTAAAGAGTAGGTCATTCTTCCGGATGGACTAAGAATAGTTTAACTACTAGAAATAGTAGCTTACTTTATGCGGGCACAAAGCATTCATGGATGTATGGATATTAAAATTATTATGGTGTTTGGGGAGATTGATCGTGGATAAGTAGCACTTTAAGTACTCTTTAGTGAATGAGGTGGTAATTCTTTTATCAGAAAGAGGTGCAAAAAGTGATTGGTTAAATGAGGGAAGCTAACGATGAGAAAACATATAAGCTTGATATTTTCTAGGGAGTGACCGGTAAAGTTGAAGGTAAAAGCAATAAAATCAACAAGTGAAAGTGAAGAAAAAGGAGTGTTCAGTAACAATGAGGTACTCTCTAATATTGGTGCTCAGCATTCTGAAAGCTTCAACTGCTATATTTAGCAACTTTTATAGAAGTGCCTTTCTGTCAGGTGTGCTCTTTATTCGTACTGGTACAATGATGAAGATGCGTCACACAAAAAGTGGAACTACGTTGGAGGAAAAAATATGGATTTATAAGAGCAATAGAACACTTACTGAAGATCAGGAATCAGCAGTGTATTTACCTTTGATCAGGATATAGATAGTCCTTAGACTAGCTAATTCTGATGTGGTTAGCATCTGAGCTAATTTTGTGAATTTAACTTTTCCAGAGTTGGGAGCTGCAAAGATGCAGAGCATGGATAAATTGTTAGGCTATGTAGCTTTGATGTGCATCGAAGGCACTAAAAGTCAAACGGTTAACATTGGGTAGGCATATTGTTATTACAATAAATTATTTGGGAGTGCTAATTATCTGAAAGTACTTGCAATAAGTGAAATAGAAATTTTCCAGTCACTCTTTTTCTTGGGAAATATAAGTTATATGCATACCACATTGTGTTAATAGCTCCAAGTACTATGATCTTTTAAGTGGTCCAGATCTCATTGTGGTACTGGATTGAATATTAAGGGCCACTCATTTATCTTTTTTCTCTCTGTTAATGAAGGTTGTGGAGGGAGATTGTTTAGTTAGTTACGTATGAGAAAGGCCCAGCTTTTACCTTGCTATTATAAGCTAAGTTGCTCGGTATTCACTTCATCAAATGATCAATCGATTTCGGGTACTTTGACCAAAATCGACGAATAAATTCGGGACAGATACAATGATTTTTGAAATCAAAACAAGGGTTACGGTGAAATTGAAGAAATAGAATACCTTGTATATAGAATTCTATGTCAGTCTTTTTTCTTTTATCTCCTCGGATTCTCCTCTTGATTAATATTTTTCCTTCTTAAAATACCTTATAAATTTTTCACATAATGTCTCATAATTTAGATATATTTTTATAACTCTACTTTTAGATATTTGAATTATTTTTAGCCGAATCCTCACATCCGTACCCCCGAATCTTAAACATTTAGATCATGAAGGATCCGACCTCTAGATCCGTACCCGTATCGGACACCTGCACCTGAGTCCGAGCAACTTAAATTATAAGCATATCGGGCTGTCTTGTGCTTTATTGAGCTATTTTTTTCGAAGTGTATCTTTATTGATCTATTTTTACAGTAATGATCAATAAGACTCTAATCTCCTGAGAGAGAAAGAAAAAAAAACGAAGAAGAACGGAAATCGACAAAAATGCTTGTGGTTTATTATCGGGTAGGGCTTACTTGAACAGCTTTTGCTATTAAAATTATGCTCGTCAGTTTTCAAGCTCTGGTGTATATACCTTGCTCAGGCGTTTTAAATTGCAGTTTTCTGATTGTTAAGAGAAATGCATTTCCTAATTGGCAAACAATTTGCAGGTTGATTCTGTGTCATGCTATTGCAATGTTGATTCGGGGTTAAAAACAGTTGCCGGTGCAAGAAAATTTGTCCCAGGATCAAAACTTTGCATCCAGTCAGACATCAGTTCTCATGCACACAAGACAAAAAATTCTCGTAGAGAGAGGTCAAGAGTGCAGCCACCTCTTCTACCTGGCCTGCCTGATGATCTTGCAATTGCTTGTCTCGTGCGTGTTCCTCGTGCTGAACATAGCAAGCTCCGTCTAGTTTGCAAAAGGTGGTATCGGCTTCTTGCTGGTAACTTCTTTTACTCTCAAAGGAAGAGTCTTGGAATGGCTGAAGAGTGGGTATACGTTATAAAAAGAGATCGTGATGGACGGATTTCATGGCATGCATTTGACCCAACTTACCAACTTTGGCAGCCACTTCCACCCATTCCAGGGGATTATAGTGAAGCCCTTGGATTTGGTTGTGCTGTTCTTAGCGGTTGCCATCTTTATTTGATTGGAGGAAAAGATCCAATCAGGGGGTCTATGCGACGGGTAATCTTTTATAATGCTCGAACAAATAAATGGCACAGGGCACCAGACATGCTCCGCAAACGCCATTTTTTTGGTTCTTGTGTAATTAATAATTGTCTTTATGTTGCTGGTGGAGAATGTGAAGGAATACAAAGGACTCTCCGTTCAGCTGAAGTTTATGACCCCAACCGGAAGCGCTGGAGTTTTATAGCTGATATGAGCACAGCGATGGTGCCCTTTATTGGGGTTGTATATGATGGGAAGTGGTTCATAAAAGGGTTGGGATCCCGCAGAGAAGTTCTCAGTGAAGCTTATAACCCTGATATCAATGCGTGGAGCCCAGTCAACAACAGGATGGTTGCTGGTTGGCGCAACCCGAGCATCTCGATGGATGGTCGTCTATATGCTTTGGACTGTCCTGATGGGTGTAAAATTAGAGTATATGATGAATCTATGAATTCATGGATCAGGTTTATTGATAGCAAGCTCCACCTTGGAAGCTCTCGTGCTTTGGAGGCTGCCGCTCTGGTTCCACTTAATGGTAAACTTTGTATAATTCGTAACAACATGAGCATCAGCATAGTTGATGTGAAAAATCCTGATAAGCGAGTGGAAACTAACCCGCATCTTTGGGAGAACATTGCTGGTAAAGGTCACTTCAGAACTTTGTTCACAAATTTATGGTCAAGCATCGCAGGACGAGCAGGGTTGAAGAGTCATATTGTGCACTGTCAGGTCTTACAAGCTTGAGCATTGGATCTTAGCCACTTATCGTTGATGAGAAACCGAGAGTTACTTCAACTTCTCTCATCTCAAGAACAAGATTTTCCGGAGAAGCACTTTTGACATCATCGACATGCTCCTGTGTTGGTTATGAAGCAAACAATTTCTGTTCTTTTACAATTCCCAATGTCCTTCGGCAGCACCCCGAATACAGTACCCTTTCTGAGGCGGCCTCTTAGCTTCTTTCTTTACTATCAGTCCAGGCCAGTAGCTGCTCATGGCTTTCCGACAGCTAGAGCACCAACAGATGGAGCGAAGAGTCTATAAGGAAAAGAGCTGAGGCTTGTCGTAAATAAAAGTTGTATGCGATAAGTTTGAGTATTATATCTTATTCGTGAGAATTTCTTCTCTCCAGTCCTCTGCAGCTAGTGCGTGGCTTCAAGTGCTTGTGGATGGATGTCTTCTGGAATTGTTCGGATTGGCTCACAGTAGCCTCGAAAGAGAAGGGGGTTGCGATTCTTCATTAATGGCTCGTGCATGAATTTCTATGGTAATTTCGTACTTTGCCATGCATCAATCAGAGCTATCTTCTTGATAATTTTGGCTGTAAAAATGTGCTATTCATAAACATTCACAAAGAAATCAGACAGCTATATGTTTGTACATCCTTTTGGTCTGTAGTCTTGTACCGATAGCTTCTAGTCTTAGATACCCTTTTGTGAATATAGTTTGGTCATTGATCATGAAATATAGCTGGAACCTTTGCTTCTTACTTTCTCCTCCTCTCTTGATTTCAATATTTTTATTTCATTGGGTGGGAGTCGCATTGAATTATTGAAATATGGTTAGCCTAAGTATTGATTCGAGGGTCTATTGGAAACATCTACTTTCACAAGGCTAGGGGTAAGGTCTGCGTACATACTACCCTCCCCGGACCCTATTATGTGGGGATTATACTGGGTATGTTATCATGTTGGTTAGGCTCGAAGTTATGTCTTGATCTCCTCCTCCTTTCTTGTTGAAGCTCTGTATATCTTGAAAAGTTCAGTTATGGGTTGTTGCACTACATTTCAAAGAATTGCCTTCCAAGTTATCCAATCTAAATTTAACTCCAAAGCTTTTTTTTTTTTTTTTTGGGAAAATTTGCTGCTAAGATGTTCTAATATTTGCAGCTATACCAAAAGGCATAGAAAAAAAATGCTTACCTGCGCCCCGATGTATTAAACAATTAACAGACAAATTTCTTGACGAGGATTGGTATAAAAGTTTGAAATACTGTGATTCAAGAGAGCAAAGTATTGAATTGATGTTCTCCGGTGCACAAAGCATTCCCCATTTACGCAAGGCCCGGGAAGTGGGAAGGGCCGCACCCTAGAGGTATATATAGATTTTTTACAAACTAAAAGTTGGATACTTCCTTTGTAGTATATATAGATTTTTATCAAGTATGAACTCACGAACTCTTATTTTGGAAATCATTTCCCAGTGTCACATAAATATACTCTCATTTGTAATAGTTAGCAACTTTATTCCTTGAACTTGCACCAATATAAAAAAAAATACTAGAGAATCCATTGACATAACAGAAAGAATATAAACTTTCAACGTACATTATGAAAGATAATTGAACAAACATCAGTCCTATGTTCCTCTTCTAATCATCTCTTGGAAACGCTTAAATGATTCTTCTCTTTCAAACTTAAGTTGCTTCCTGAAATTTTTGATAAAATCATCAGCCAACTTGTTCACATCCTCCACCACGAACCGCGTCCCTGCTGCTTTTCTCTCTCTTTTCTTGCCAACTTTTTCCAAATTCTTCAAGTTGGAATTTTGTCGATGATCCATTTGAAGATTATTGTATAATTTTCGCGCTAGGCGGGGAGGTAAAAAAAATTTCTTAATTGATGGATTGCTAGCCAGCAACAATGGCTATATATAGTAGGAAAGATAGATAAGAGGTGAAGAGTTTTAACTGTTTAGGGGGGTTGTTTTTGGCTTTAAAGCATCAGATTTTCATGGAAAAAAGCAAAGTAAAGGTTAGAAAATTTGGTTATTGATGTTTTTTCATGCGTGAAAGGCATTTTCTTGGATATTTGAAGCCACAAAGAAACACACTTTCTTATTTTAGGTATATAGCCAGCTTTAAGTTTCTATAGTGGTTCTGCCTTTAAGGAACTTGCAAGCAGGATTTGTTTGTTTCAGTGCAAGAAACCGACTATAAAATTTGTGAATAGAACATATTTTAAAATTAATGAATGATGGCTTTTAAATGGGAAAACTTAGTGCAAAATTTTATTTACTAGACAACAAAGTTTCTTTCAAAAAATAAACACAATGTATAATTTAAGTAAAATGCAAGGTAAGGCAATAAACAAAAGAACCTTGTGGTCGGGCCCTTGACCGGAGCTTAGTGCACTAGGCGGCCCTTTTCTATTTGAAGCTAACTCAAATTTTGGAACCTCAGTGCAATCTTACGTCTAGTCTCTCCCTTCGCCATGCGGAGGGGAAGCTATTGCGGTTAATCAACTATTCAAATTTGAAATTGTGTAAGCCTAGAGCTAAAACAAACAATATTCTTAGTGGATTTTAATTGTTACAAGATAATTAAGTATGAAATTTCTCATCAATGCAAAATCATGGATCATGGTGATATTAATAGATTGGTTATTTGTAAAGTTTGGGTAAAATCAACCTACTTTAGAATCACGAGTAATCAATTAGTTGTAGACTCCTGCCAAAAATTAAGTTAGCAACATTAAGAAATAACAAAAAGGAGTTGTTAACTTCCTATGGTTATTGCTCTTGACCATCCAAATTCTATTTGAAATTCAACTCCAACAATGGGTTTTATCCATTTTCTTCTGTGACTAGCGCTGCTTCTTTTCGTCTTAGCTTGCACGAAAACAGCAAAAACAGGGCAGGAGGAGAGGGAGTAGGTGCGAGAAAGAAATATGCATCAGAACTAAATAATTGAAAAACTCGTTAAACACGATACATTCGTGGAATCTTAATTTACTTGATCATACATCTAGTACATGAAGACTTAATGACCCTGATTCCAAAAGAAACCAAGCAAATGATATGTCCAGCTGCTGCAACTTTTGGCTCGAGATGTGTACTAGATCGCATCTACTCTGTAATAAGCATTGGCATATCATTGACAGGGTTCGGAAGCTGTAAAAAATGAGAGATCAGTCAGTTTGAAATATCAAGACTTGACCAGAAGGTCAAGTTCAAACCAGCTATGTAGCTCGAGCCAAAAGATGCCACCGCACACATGTCAAACCCTCCAAAAAGTGTGCGGCGGTATTTTTGCAGGGTCCGAGAAACATAGCAGACCAGTGTAATGGTCTTCTTTCTTCTCCTTCCAACATACAGGAAAAAGAACTGGAAGAGTGAAATATCAACCAAACAGAGATCATCACATGTACTCGACAAAGTAGATAGCAGTGTAACCCTAACGCAAAAGTAGCTATTTTTATTATATTCTAATTGTCACGTTCGCTATTAAGGTGTTATCAAGTGACGAATGAGGTTTTCACCTAACAGTCAGATAGACAATAACTAATAACAATAAAAAGAACCAAGACGATTACAGCATACAATTCTACAAAGTGCAACTACCAGTCACAAACCTTTGCTTGTTGCAAGTCATTAACACCGAGGAGCCTTCTTTAATTGAAGTATGAGTGTTTTGAAAGGTTAGGGCTCTTGTGAAAATGGTTCAATAGGATTAACACAAATTGCTGCACTTGACCTACATTTGGAACCTAGAAGCTGAGGATTAGTCGTCACACCAGCAAGCACTAAAGGAGACAGATTGGTAAAGGAGACAAAGATTTGAAACGACAAATCTCATCAAGTACCATAGGGCAGCCCGGTGCACAAATCTCGTCAAGAACCATGTGTATAAAATATGTTTTCCTCCTATATTCCTTCCTTCAAGGAGTAATAGAATGTCAAAAGAATCAGAGATGTACTTGAACTAGATGCAGACCAGGTAATCACCATCAAGAGAATATGCTACAATAGCACCGAGGTCTTTTCGCCTTTCATGCTTGAAAGTAACAGAATGTTAAAGGAAATTTACTTCCCTTGCTTGTCTACTCAGCACTCAACACACTTTAAAATCACCTTATTAGAAAAGCAAAATCCGTTTTTTTGGTGTAAGAGGTGTCTAGTAGACAGTATGGATCAATTTTTGGATTTGCTAGGAAATATGTAACTGCATGTTCTTGCAGATGCTGTCTGTTTCTATTGTAGCTTTGTGTACCATCTTGGAACTCCTATTAATAAAACTTATCAAAAAGCAAGTCCTCTGGTTAAAGAGTCAATATGATTAAGCAGAAATTCAAAAGTTCCACTAGCTTTTACAGTCCTCCATTGCCGTCTTCAACTGCTCCAGCTACCGAACTCCCGGTAACCTCACCAACATCGCACTGTGAACCCAGCAAATCACAGTCCCCAATCCCATCATGAACCAGTAGGGATGGCAATAACATGGGGAGAACGATTAACATATTACAGGGAGTTGGCATAGGTATGAGAGATCTCAAACAAGGGGATGGAGAAGAAGGGGGTGGACGGCAATAGAAGCTAGAAAGTCTCAGCATTTTTTCCTTTTTTCGGTTTACCTAATTTCTAGAACTAAATTAGCTCATTTTGGACAAGTTGAAGATTGTATGAGCCGAGAAAAATGATTGATAAATTAAGATCATTTCTCAAGCTTGAGAACTTGGACATGAAAAAAAGGAACAATGCCATTAGCCAAGCTACTTGTCTTTAATCATAAGCTTGCAATGCATTTTGGAACTTAAGACTAGATACTGCCGCTCTTTCTTAAGCTTTATTACTTCTATTCATTTCAATCCTATGCATTTCCCTTAATCTCATCAGTCGTCAGATAGGTCATTTGGAAATAATATGCTTAAAAGAGTAATTTCGTCAATCACTGATTAAAACAAAACTTTGACCTGTTGTAGAGATTCTCATATCTAGGATCAGTAGAAATGCTTAAGCACAAGTTAACTGTCCACACTCACCCAAAATTTCAAACAACGGTATCCTCCAAAAAGTCATTTGACAAAAAATTAGCTGGAGAGAAGTTTTCCAACCTTTGATAATAGTGGTGAACAATAGCTTCGCCCAACCAGACAAAGAGTAGCTCTGTAAGAAGGCTATCATCATTTTTCTGTTTCGTTAAATTAGCTAATGAAAACAGCCTGTGTCATTACTTACTGTTCTTCCTTTTCTATAAATTTCTGAGAAAATTGGCATTCTGTCAAGCCAAGTTGTAAATCGAGAGAAATAAAACAGAAACAATGAGTAAACTTAGAGGAGGAGGAAGCATCCGGACAGGAAATTCTATTACTCCTTCTTTATCTTTTGTTATCAAGTATGTTTGCGCAGTAGAATTGGAGCTCCGCTAAAGCAAGTCAGAAAGACAAGAAGAGAAGCAATGAGTAAACCAAGACGAAAACAAAAAGTGAGAGGGAAGTATTTCTCCAAATCTTGCTAGGTGAATAATATAGAACTAACTCAACACGATAACCACAATATAGAGTTGCAAAGGGGACATTCTTTCTCTAATAAAAGAAAGGCTTGCAACAACTGCAAATACAAGAGCATTCATGGAGAATAAATCAATACAGCTGAACAAAGAAATTAACTAGACACTACAGCACCAATTACCACCTAACCTTGAAAATTAATCAATCGCATGGTTTGGCAAAAATTAAACTAATATGTAAATTTTAATCAGGATTTTCTCAACTAAAGACTTAATGCTCAACAACTTTGTGAAGAAGAAAGTGAATCAATTTTCGATTTGCAATGTTTAATTTGCCCATATACATATGTGACCAAAATTGCTTCATCATTTTGCATTCTCCAGAAGCTGTTCTGCTTGACCAAGAGAATAATGGAGAAGATATTGTGGGGTAACGATGACGTTGAAAGATAACGTCGTTACTTCCCTTCCAACCCCCTCCCTTGCCAAACCACCAAAGCCCAAATTTTCCCTTTCCTTAGTTCCACTACAGATCCTAATTTCTATTCTAGGAATCTCCTGCTTCGTTGTGAATTGTGATTTTTAAGTTCCACTTTTAGGTCTACAATATCGAACCATATACACAAAATCATGCCAAAACCTGCAAGTCTTGGACATGTAAGACAACAATTTTCCAAAGCTCACATTTTGCACAAAAAATTGTCTCTCAATGAAGAGAAATTAGCACTTAATTCTCACAAAACCACGTTGACATATACGAGAACCAAAAAATATAAGTGGTCAAATTCAATCACAATATAAGTGGTTGCCAAACGCGCAAAAAACACAATTTCAATCACATTAATTTCAGTACATTCTAAAACTCACGTTTCTGCGGATCTCATTAACGGGTTATTGGACATGGCCATATGACCTACTTACTCATCACTGTGTCCCAATTTGTATCCTTTGATACGAATATTATGTACTTCAACCAAACTAACTATTCAACCTTTATAATATTTTCTTCCACATCATTAATATAATTTACAGGTCAAATTAACATTCTAAACTCCAGTCAAGTACCATCATATAAATTGGGAGGGAGGAAGTAGTATTTAACATTTTCTCCATCAATAATATATTATTCCCTCTGTCGCATGTCTCAATTTACGTGTCACACTTTCTTTTACCGGGTGTCCAAAACAAATGACACATCTCTATATTTAAAAACAATTTAACTTTCAAATTCTCGTGCCCAATCAAACAGTGACGCATAAAATTGAATGGAGGGAGCTATACCATTGAAGAAAAATAATCAATCAAACACGAATGAAACTTGAAAATCACCTGAAGAACCTGTCTCAGAGAACCTCCACACAAGGCCAAAGCATTGTCACGGCAACTATGAACAGTCTCAAACTGATTCATATCAAGCTTCTTGTTAATAATCCCAACATGAAAGTAAATACTACCAGATGATGGCAAATCCACTCGGATCTCATTCACATTTAACCAAAGAAAGAATCTTTTAACTTGGATTCCTTCTAAGTCAGTAATTGACCCAATACTTAGCTTCCCACTAATCTTCTCAGCATAATAAACTAAGTATTCAAACTCTACATAACAAGGCTTTTCTAGTTCAACTTCAAAATTGCCATCTTTGGAAAGAGAATAGGATTTTACAGAGTCTGGTAAAAGCCCTTTCGGAAGGCTGTATTTTGTGAGGATTTCGTATACTGTTGTGTTGTTGGCAGAAGTGTATAGGGATAAGAGTAGTAGTAGGAGAATACCCAGTTGGATTCTTGGATTGAAACCCATTGTTCTTGATGTTCCAGGGAAAGGGGAGAGAGGGCAAATATAGTGCAGTTTGGGAGGCCGGTGATGGTTTAGAGTCCGTTTGGATTGGCTTAAAAAAAGTAGTTTTTAATAAAAGCACTTTATAAGTGCTGGAGCTGATTTTACAAATAACCAGCTACGTATTTCGATAAAAGTGTTGGAGCTGAAAAAAAGTTATTGAAGTGTTTGGTAAACAAGTGTTAGTAAGCATTTTTTCTATTAAAATTACTGAAATATCCTTAAAGCTGTTAAACTTATAAAGAAGCTTATTACTATAATATTTTATTTTAAATAATATAAATACATAATAATTAATATTTTAATTCACTTTTAATTTAAAAAACTAAAAGTAGTATGAAGAAAGCAAACGAAAACTAACCCAATTTCGATATGAAGAAATCAAATGAAAACAATAATTAATATTTCAAAGAAAATTAGTAAAAAACAAAAAATAGAAAGCAAACAAACGTTACCATCTGGAGAAATATGGAAAGAAAAAGAGTAAAATGAAGAAAGTAGATGCTGCAATTTTGGGAGGAAGAAGACAGCTGCAATTTCAAGTTTGGTACTGAAGGGTAATTTTGAGATTAAGAAAAATTATAAGGGATAAGAATGTAATATCCTTGGTCAAAGCAATATGGCTTTTAAGCCAATTCAAAAAAAATTGGATTTACCCAACTTGTTGGTTTTGGCATTTTTTAAGCTGATTTTAGCTTTTTTTAAGCCATTTTTCTAGTTGCCAAACACTTCAAAAGTTAAAAAAGACTTAAAAGTTGATTTGACCAGTTTTTAAACTCATCCAAACAGGCTCTTAAGTGGCTGTACATAACACCGAAAGAGTTGTACTATAATTTGAGAAGAGAGAAAATTGTTTTGGACATTTTGTGTGGTAGAGGTCAAATTTCTTGTCAATTGAAAGTGTTCTGCATTATCAAAATGTGGGTCACATTCGTGTACGTTTTGGAAAAGAAAGGAAAGGCATATAGGAGTAATTTATAGTAGGAAAAATTACCCAAATTGTCTGTCGCAATCCAATTCCATCGTAGGTCGTGATGACGCCTAACACCATTGTTAGTCAAGCCAACACAAATTAATAATTTCGCATTTAAATAAATTACCAAGTCCATAAAAACTCTTCTTTTGTTAAAGGATTTATAAATTTACCAATAAAGCAGAAATTAAAACGAAAGTAACGAATACGAGCAGTAATCATATATACAATACCAAAATCATAAGTCCACTAGTGTGTGTGCCACGACCTGTGTCACAAGTATGTGGGCAATCTAGTGGAATATACAAAAGAATGCTAGCCTATTGTCTGAAAGAAAATACACAGAAAATATAACATAAAGAAGACTCCACCTGCTGCAGGACGGCTCAGAAGGCATCTCACCCGTGAAGTCTCAAGATGGGGTCAAATCTACGCGCCGGACTGATGGCCAGATGCACCTGCCTCAAATCCTGTACAATTAAGTACATACGTGTAGCGTGAGTACATAAAAATATGTACCCAATAAGTATCTAGTCTAACCTCGAAAAAGTAGTGACGAGGGATCGACTTCGACATTACTAGCGCCAACAATATAATGACATGAGATTCTAATTAAGCATGATAAGTAGAGACAACAATAAAACTCAGAACAAGAAATAGCTGAACAATTCTTTCATCATATTTAAGAACCCAAAACACTTCCTTTATTTAAAACAAATGATCTCTCAATGATGATTTTATTCAAGTTATAAAAGGACTGCCAGTTCTATTAACACACACAAATTCCACCGATGACGTTCGGCCCGATCCAACATAAATATAAATTGTGCACTGCCGAGGGTAGAACGACGCGAACCATAGATGCATCTATTCACTCCGCTCGCGAATCATACATGTGATGCGGTCAGATATAAATTTAAGGAATTACTCCGCTCGCGGATCATACGTGCGACGCGGTCAAGTATAATTTTATCATTTAAATCATAACCCTTTCTTGATTCTTTTTAAAAAATAAAGACAACTCAACTTGAAGCCTTTAAGTCCTTAGAAATCCTCAACTTAATTACATTTGTTACAATTAGCAAATATAATAAAATAATAGTATCCACAAAGCATGGTGTAAACCTAAAACTACCCGGACATAATCAGGAATAGTAGCTACGTACGGATTCTCATCACTTCGTGCGTACGTAGCCCCCACAAATAAGCACATATTGATTAAGTTCACCTATGGGGAAATTTCCCTCTTACAAGGTTAGAAAAGAGACTTACCTCATCCCAAAGCCTACTTCCAAACTCAAGAATGCACTCAACCCTCAGATCAGAGCCGAGCAATCCAAAACTGTTCAAATAGTGTAAGAACTAATCAATATATGTTCAAAAGTTTATTCTAACTTTTAAAGTAATTTCTCAACTCTAAATGCAAGATTCCTAAAATTCACTTCCGGACCCACGTGCCCGGATTCTAGAAATTTTCTAAGGAATATGTTACTCATAACCTTAGGAACATAAATATGTGATTTTCACTAAGTTCCATAATCATTTTCATTGTAAAATCTCATTTTTAAAAAACCCTAGGTTTTCCTTTAAAACTTTATTTTTCACTAATTTTTACATGTTAATGTACCCAAAATCTAAGTATTTAACTCACTTTTGGTAGAAATTACTTACCTCCAAAAGCTAGGTGAAAATCCCTCTCAAAAAGCTCCAAAAATCGCCCAAGGAGTGAGTGAAATGTTTTGGTCCAACTCCCCTCCCGTATTAAAACCTCACTGCCTCCAGCTTTTCTGCACCTGCGGTCAAAGGGCCACATCTGCGTCCTCGCTTCTGCGGACAAGAGTCCTCTTCTGCGGAAATTGCTGGGCTGATTGAGACCGCTTCTCGGGCGTTTTACCGCTTTTGCAGTGGAGGGGCCACACCTATGGAGTTTGGGCTGCCCTGTTTTGATCGCATCTGCGAGACTTAGCCCGCACCTGCGCTAACCAACCGCAGGTGCGGTTATGACAGATCCGAGGCATTTAATTGCTTGTTCCAAATTTCTAACTTGGTCCGAGCCTCGTCCGATTGACACTCAGGGACCCCAGGCTCCCGCCCGAACATACCAACAAGTTTGAAATCATAAAACGGACTTGCTCGAACTCTCGGAACGCCCTAAACAACATTAAAACTAAAAATCACACCCTAAAACTAATTGAATCAAATTTAAGAACTTCAAGTTCTTCAATTTACTTTAAATGCGCCGAAACGTACTTATACCACTCATAATGATACCAAATTTTGTGTGAAAATCTTAAATGACATTACGGAATAATTCTCGATCTTGGAATTTTATTTGGACCTCGATATGACCAAAACCCGCTCCAAGCCAAATTTTAAAGAACTTCTAAAACCTTCAAAACCAACTTTCGCTATTAGGCGCTAAAATGCTCCCAGGTCATCAAAACCCAATCCAAACATACGCCCAAGTCCGAAATCATCATACGAACCTATTGGAACCGTCAAATCCTGATTCCGAGGTCGTTTACTCAAAATGTTGACCGAAGTCAAACTTGGCCTTTTAAGCCAACCTTAAGGAACCAAGTGTTACGATTTCAACCTGAACTCCTCCAAATCTCGAACTAACCATCCCCATAAATCATAAATCAGTAAAAGCAAGTACGAAAATTCTTATTTAGGGGAACGGGGTTCTAAAAGGAAAAATGACCGGTCAGATCGTTACATTGTCACTCTATAAACTTTTCCAATCAAAAATAATCCAAAATAAAATATCTACTAAAAAAGCTCAAATATCATTTTAGGCCCAAATAGTTTCAATTAATGTTTTATGTTTACAGACACCGTTCTCTCTCTTCTCTAAGTTTTCACTCTCTCTCTATCTCTCTCTATGTGATTTTTTGCTAAATTAAACCAAAATTGCTGAAATTGGCGACAAAACAAGATACATTCGCTGTTATTTTCGTCTGATTCCAGGTAATTTGGAGTAGAAAATATCTTATTTTGTATATTTTTTCGGATTGCATGTGTTTTTGGAGAAGCGATGTTGCTTTATTTTAGGCTTTTGCGACTGAATTCTTTAGTTAGAGTGCATTGTAGGTATCTATTACAGATGACTTTGTTAGGTTTTGTTGAGTTTTGTATCAATTTCTTCACAAAATTCTGTAACCGTTTGTTCGTATAAATATTTTTTTTTTTAAAATTTTCATTCAACCTAGTTTCAAATGTGAAACAGAGCAATATGACAAGACAAACTCATTCGATGAGTTCATCTCCTTATTCAAAGTCGGTTTCAATTGAAAAATCGAGCAACATGAGAAGAGAAACTAGGTCAACGAGTTTATCTCCTCATTCAACCCCGATTTTAGTTAATAAATTGATTGATGAATGAAATATGGGAAGGAAAAATCGTTCCGACAGTGTTAAAGTGTTAGAATCTCGAAAGGATGTTGTTGGAAAATCTAAGAAAAAGAAGAGCAAAAGGGTTAGAGTGGATGATGTTGAAGGTAAGAGAAAATGTGTCGGTTGTACATGTTATAGAAATAAGCATCTTTTTAACTAAAAGCCTCGTCACTACTTCGACGAGGTTAGACAAAATACTTACCAGTATATGGGGTAGGTTGTACTGATACCGCACTTCTGCACGTTTCGTGCAGATTTTGGAGTGGAGTTGCTGGTGACGTCGGGTGCTGATCCAGAAGATGTTTGTGCATTTGGTTATTGATGTCACTTGTCCTTGGTAGTCTAAATTATTGCTAATATGTTTAAGTAACCTTCAAACAGAACGTGTATTTATTTGTATTAGTTTTGAAATTTCAAATCTTAGAAGCTCGTGATTTGTACTACTAGGTCTTGGGTAAATTTATAAATGTTCAGTTATCTATTTATTATTCTCTTATAATCTCAGTTGAGTTGTATTTTTTGTTAGTTGGCTTACCTAGCGGGTTGAGTTAGGTGCCATCACGACTTGTGGTTTTTGGGTCGTGACACGTCTTCACACAGTTCCGACTATAGTCCAATTTCTATGACTTAAACCTCTGTTTAGGGACTAAGTGTCCTAAAATACCCCAAAATCTA